TATTTAAGGGAATCAAACTAATACAAAGTACAGAGGAGGAGGTAGTGAGAAAAATATAATCAACTCTAAATCTTGGAGTGTTTTCAAGAAGAAATCTCAGCCCAGTTCTTTCTGTTACATCAACCAGGCAATTTCTTGAAAGAAGCATGAGTTGTCTCATGTGGTACACATAATTCTTGTCACTCCCCAAAGGTTCAGTTTTTCCCTTTTCCCAAAATTCTGTGCTTGACAACTGGACAGAAGGCTACGCTGAATTAAATTTTACTGCTCTGGTGTTCTCCATCCATTTGCAGTGCACATAATCAGGAATTCAGTTATGTCCCAAGAAACCCGTTTAACCTAATGAGAGCAAATGGCAATGGGTGTTCCTTACCCGGGACAGCAGTGCCAACATTTCTGCTTAATTGGGACATATTTGGCTGGTTCCAGTGCTTTAAGTGGTTTTTAAACAGGTGTTTAATAGGTGTGGGATTCTGAACTCTGCCCTTTTGATACAGCAGTTGCCAAATAAAGATTAACAGAAATAAAAAGGTCTAATGCCGAATAATAATTTTTGTCTTTGTATATTTATTCAGCATAATTTTTACTTCAAGTCGCAGGCGGGTGGGGAGGTGTTTCTTGTCGTAATTGAGAAAGTCCATTAAATAGAACAACAGGATGTCTAACAGGGTGTCCTAATTAAAATTACCCTGCAATTTGAACAAAACATTAATTTGTATGTAGGTAAGGTTGACCTAAACCCCATCTAAATCAGGAAAAATTATTATACGATTTTTTTTCTACTGAAAATGAAACTTAGCGTTCTGCCAGCAAACAGCATGGTTCTGTTATTATACAGAATTCAAGAGTAAGGATTTTCCTCTTCAGTGTTGAAAAAATAATGTTTTGAGAAGATTTAAAATAGATTTCTCTCCTACCTCCGCCCTTTGATAGTATTCATTTATGGTTACGTTTCTGTGGTATTTTGAGAGCAGGGACAGTTTTGTTCTGCGCATACTGTAAGCCCATCTGAAGCCTTTGGTCGTGGCTACTGTACTGGTGAACTAATAAGCAACAGAGATAGCAGCTGCTTAGCAGGACTGATTGGCTTGGGCTTGACTTTGCTATCTGCGACTACACAGTTTCTGACTGGCTTGGAGTGCAAGCCGGGTAATTTTGTTATCTCGGGGAGTGTGGACCTGCATGCATAATCTAGGCTGTGTACACAACTGCAGAGATTTCACGTCCGTATGTAAAAATGACCCACTCATGCTTTAGCTGTCATGGTTTAAAATGCTGCCAAAGCAAATTGTATTAAATACAACTTATCAGATCAAAGCAAATGTTTGGAAGGATTTACTAACTTCAGAAATACTGTTTGTATTTAAAAGGGAATTCTCAGGATCTTTAACTTGACAGAACTACACAAACTGCAGCTTCTGGATGTTGCTTCCACGACACAATGTGGTGGAAGTTTATTTATTCATGCCCACTTTCTGGACAGGTTGGGAAGGGGAGGATTTTCAAAAGTGCTTGAAGCTGGTCTCAATGTGCTGCTGATGCATTCAACTTGGAATCCTTTACCACAATTTGAGTGGAAAGAGAATCACACCCTTGTCCCTTTGGATAATCCCACTGCTATGTACAAAAAGTGGAACTTGATAAATGCCAGAATTTAATTAGGTGCAATAGGAGTTCCTTTCCACTGAATTATTCTCTACTTAAACTAACTTTTACATTTTCATCTCTCACTTTCAATGGAGTATATAACAACAAAAGAAAGGGAAAGGAAAAATCTGATGAACAATTTGCTTAACCTACTTTAAGCTCCAAGAAGAATTGTTAAAGAGATAAAATTTGAGGCTCGTGTTGTGGTAATACACTTTCAAGGTGATCAAGAGCACTTAAATAGAAAGTATTCAAGTATTGACATAATTTAAAGTTGTTAGATTCCTGTCGTTATTTTAAAGACAGTCAGAATTAATGTGGGCATCTGTTGTATTGTAGAAAAACTAGAATTAGTTCAATCAAACAGATATTTGCCAGAATATTTTACATGTTTGTACATATGTATGTTAGCATGTAGATACTTAAGTATGCATGTTTTCCAGTGAGCAGTTATTTCACAGAGGCATGTACTCAGTGAGGAACCACAGCAAGAATAATCTAATGCTTTAGTGGGTTGTACTGGTAACTGCTGTATCTTAAAGGTAGTTGAAGGAAGATGGGGAAACCAGCCAAGCCTATTGTATAGGGGTCACATAACTTGAACATGTCGAAGTTTGTGTAACAACCTGTGCAGCTGCCCATGATTCATGGAATACCTGCACCCATCATGAGAGTGTGTAGAGGACTGGAATGAAAACAAGTAGTTGTGTGGATGCCATTGCTTCAGAATCACATATGCTGGTGTGTAATGCTACATGTGAAAGCATTGTTTGTTATTGTTGAACAGAAAAAAATCACCAATTCTTATGCCTGGTCTGGCATCCTGCAGATTGAGGCTTGGTTGTAACTTGGCAATACAAATTCTTACTGCAGTACTGAAAAGGCAGGTGGTGTTGGTTGTTAAGCTGATGAAAGTGGATGAAGATCCGGTGCCTGCACTGATTCTTTTTGTCTTCTCAGTTACTGTAATTTCCAAAGACGATATATCCCCTGTGGGTGCTAACTAGCTAGTGAAGCTTTTACTTAGCAACTCCTTCTCCTGAAGATATTGTTGATAGTGGTGTCGGATGACTCCTCAAGACCAGAGGATCTCTCTTGTAGGGTTTAAAATGTTCCAATTTTTCTTTACTCCTGGAACGAAGAGGCTTGAACTGCAGTGTCTTGTGTATTCAGCTGAAATCTAGATACATATCCCACAGCCTCCTGTGAAACTGTTTGGGCAGAGTGACTTCAGAAATACTGATGGTGGGAAAGCTTACTTTCAAGTCAGGACAAAATTGATGCTTGTGCTCTGGAAAGTAGCAAAAGACATGCACAGTATGGTAGCTCTAGAGATGTAAAAGAAATTTCCTGCTCTTTATTTCCAGATGTATTTTTTGAAGTCCTTGAAAGATTGTTCAGGAAGTTCCTGATGCTCTGGTAACAGTGGTTCTTAACCACATGCTTTATCATTTGCCTTTGGCAAGAAAGCTTAATTCTTTCCTTTTGAATGTGGGACTTTGCCTTATTGCCTCAGGGAAGTGTTACTGTAGTGCATGTCACTTGAGGCTAATTCAACCTGCCACTTGGAAAATGCCCCTGGTGCAGATTGTAGCACTGCACCATTATCTCAAGCTATTTTTCATCAGAAGCAGACTGCATCTGTACTGTATGATCTACATAGCCCACCAGTTTATTTTAGGTTAGCATGTGGGGTGGGGGCTTTTTTTACCTATAAAGCTGTGATTGGTTTGGCTTCCAGCTGTGTGATAAGAACCTTTCTTCTGTGTCATACCAAAGCAGCCCTAGACATCACAAGATGTAGGCCCACAGCAGCTTAAACTGATCAGTGTTGATGCTGCTCTGTTGCTGTTCCTTCACTTGAACAGTTCTGCTACCTCCTTAGCTATAACCTCCAAGTTTCCTGCTTGGAAGCTGAGCTGCAGCAGGGGCTTGATGTGGCTGAAAAAACATGGGAAAGAAACTTTCATTCAGCTGAAAGCTCCCTGAATCAGACATTTATCCTGTCCTGGATCAAGGATGCTTGGGGATATGTGGCAAGGAGAGAAAGGAGGTGAGGGAGGGGTGTAATTTTGGAACCTCCAATTAAAATCAGCTTACATCTTAGTGCAGTTGTGCTCATAAGGTTCTGGAAAGAATAACCTAGTGGTTTCAGCAAGATAAATCTGTGATCATAGGATATGATAATCAGAGGAACTGTGGCTCTGGAATTTCCTTCCTCCACAGTATTCTAAGACATGCGTTTTGGTACGCATCAGAAGCGCTGAAGATCACACACCTCAACCTTTCCACGCTTGAAAAGGGAAAATAATATCAAGGCTTGATTAATTTCGTTTATGAGGTTTGGTTGCTATATGTCATTAGAAGCAGATCAAGCAGGGAAAAAAAATAAAAATTGGTAAGCAGTAGGGAATTTTCCCCTTTGAAAAAGAGCTAAAATTTCATTAACATTTCAGCCAGCTTTAAATTAAAATTTTCATCTGAAAATAACCAATAACATGTTTTGAGTGTCCGTGAGTCACATCAGGGCAGTATCAGCCCAAGTTTCTGGTTTGTAGCTTGCGATATGGATCCTGTATCATCAGTCACAGTGTTACTGTGCTATTCATGCTGGTGTGAGTCTGCCCACTGAATTAACACTTGGCCTTCTGCTGATTGCATGAAGCCAGTGTGCTGCATACCACAGGGCTGGCTGGGGCAAGCTGAACAGAACAGATGACTGCTGGGTCCTGAACTCTGCACCTGCTTTGTATGCACACTAACTTGCCCTAATGCTTTTCACCATGGGTGTTCCTGTTCTGTTCCATTGCAATAGGTCTGCTTACATCAGAAAAGCTTTCATTTGATATATTTTTGTAGGACAGGCCCTCAGAACATGCTGCAAGAGTTATTGGGTTTTCTTCAAGCCATCCTTTCACCACTGAATGCTGATACTTTACTTTCTTTGTACCACTTCACACAAGCCATTGGGTTTGATGTTGGGAAGGGGAGAGTTCAGAAGTGAAGCTATAGTGGCTCTGCTGTGCAGGCAGTGACAAATGGCAGACTAGTCTGTATCCTTGGATTTGGCAAATTTGAGGGGATATGGGGATTTGCAGCGTGCAGCCTGAAATGCTTTTTTTTTTTTTCCTGCGAGATTTTTATGTCAAGTATACATGGATTAGATTTGTAGATGTCCTGAGCAATTAGTGCTTCAATTGCAAAGCCTTTGGAGAAAAACCCTTTGCTGATTGTACCATGCTCTTGGTAGGGCCTGTGTTGGAGTTCCTGTCAATTGTTACTAAAGTTTTTTGCATCATGCAGGATCTTAAAGATAAAATTATCCTCTTTCTCCCCCCTCCCCCCCTCCTCAGGGAACCAGAGGGCTTGACGCATCCTTTACATCCTGCATTTACTCTGACCACAGTCCCTCCCTGTTCTCACAAGTGGAGCTCAGCCCTGCTTCCCTTCCTGTTGATTCCCAGTCAGCTACATGGTAAGTTTTCATTATCTCTCGACTTGTTGCCACAAGGTAAAATTCTGGCAGACTCTCTCTAAAATCCATTAGCACTGGGCATTGAGGGCAGAGTACTTCATGCCCATCAGAGATCGTTCAGTTGTATTCCAGGCTGACTGCAAGGAAAGGAAGATAGCATTGAATTAGCATAGGAGCTGAACTTCAGCATAGATTGTTATAGGAATAAAATATGAAGTAAAATATGCGACAGAATTAAATCCATCAGTTCTAATAAAGGAAACAGAAGAAAGCAAAGAAATATTGGACCCTTAAATCCCATTAACCAGGCCAGAGAGAGAATGCGTTAAAAGGAAGCTGCACTGTATCTTTTTTCATTGTTTGATGAAATAATCTTTTTCACCCTTTAAGTAGTGTGTTTAAAACTCCTAGTATTTCTGAAACAAAGAGAATATACAGCCACCGAGCTAGCTGGTTTTTATACCTTCCTTTTCTGAGTATTGTCCTTCAGTGCAATACAGAGCCATTTCTTTGTTCTCACAAGCTAGCAGTTAAATTGTATGTAAATGTATGCAAATTAGATGCTGTCTAATAAAGAGAGTCATTAGATGGAAGAAATATTTAGTTTAGGGGAAAAAAAGAGAAGAAAGCAGGTGTATTTTGCAATAGAAAAATGTGAGATTGCAAAAGCCCCTCAAACTTTGGGTGAAGGCTTTTTATAAAGCCATTAAGATATTTTCTAAAAGACTTGCCCTACTCTTGGTCCTATTTTCTGTGTGGTTTTTTATGTCTATACACTTCTGTGTTCTTTTCTTAAAACTCACACTGGTGCTGCCATACATACAGACATATAAGTATTGTATTCCTAAGTATTTTATTTCTTTAAATCATATAGCTCTGAATTTACATACATGTACCTTGCACTAGGGTATGTTTTTTGCTTCCTGAGTAGATAGAGGTGGAATCCATATGGTAAATTTTATTTTCATGTGTTGATTTATTCATTATATGCTTTGACTGGATACCTTTTACTCGCTAAATCATCTTCCTCCATTTTATTGAACCTCCCCTCAACAAAAAAAAGCTTTTTTCCCCCCCATTTTATTTATCCACCAAATATAGATATTTTTCCGTTCTTTCACTTTTTTTTTCTGCCATGTTATCCCTTTTGAGGTATGGACCTGATTTAAGTCTGAAGCAGCAGTGACCTTTCTAAACATGAAGTCAGAGCTTTACTGTCAGGTGTCACAGCATTAAGATGTTAGGAATGTGAAGCTTTGTGTCATCCAGAGCTAGAGATTCCACATCTCCAGTGGATGGAGCACTTGTATCCATCTAGGCTCTGGAAGATTTAAAATAGATAAACCTTTTTTTCTTGAAACTTCCAAGAAGAAAAATTTTTAGGCTTTTATCTCTCTACCTTAGCATTTGTAGTTCTGTTCTTTCAGCTCTTCTGTTTGGTTGGACTAGTATACGTAGATGGCATGGCTCAGTTATTTTGAAGTCATTGCAGTATTTTGTTTCTGATGGTCAGTTAACATGGTTCAGGCAGATGAGATCATAGCTGTGGGTCGACTTGCATATTTTTTCTGTTGCAGTTTTGCAAGTCTGGAAGTCTAAAGACATATATGTATATGTGTATAAAATATATGTATATAAAAATAATGTTGTTTAAATATTTACATATAAAGCCAAGGGATTGGCTTGCTTCCCAGAATTACTGGAACTACCTTCACCAGGAACATTTGGGCTTGAAAAATCTCTACAGCAACACTTTTCTTGTGAAACTAAACAACTTGTGAAATGAGTGACTAGTTTTGCACCCTTTGTTGTTCATGTGGGTTCTTTAGCTTGGGGTGATGGAGAGACCTCTGTGCATGGGTAATTCATTTCCAGCTAATTATGGTAAAATTATCTTTTATTACGTTTTTTTCTCTTCAGTTTCTCATTGCCTCATTTTATGAGAGAGAATTCACAAGGGAAACAAGCACAGTTGGAAATTTTTGCTATGGTTCTAGGACAGGTCCATGCAGTGTGCTGCATCTGGGCTGCATGCAGTCTAGACACTGCAATTCCTTTCTATCAGCTAAAGGGCAGTCAGACTTATCACTCAGAACAAGCTGACCCTCCCAGTTGCCCAGCATCCCAACAACTGATTGAGCATTCAGAAAAGAAGCCATAACATGTTTCTGCTACCCAGTGGGAAATGGAGGCAGGATCATTGAGGGAGGTGGTAGAGGGTTGGCAGTGAATATTTCAGGTACTTTTGAAGGTATAATAGAATATGTAAGGTGAAGATTGTGTGGCATGCAAAAATAATCTGAGCTATAATATAAAGATGCTAGAGAGAGATGAGGTTGAAGTGAGGGCAAAGATGGGGTATAGTGATGACTAGGAGGGATGAGGCCACATTAGCGAACAGAAAATGTTAGTGGTTTGCTGATTCACTTGGGGCAAAAATCTTCTAGGCTTTCTGGCTTTCTGGCATTGAATGTCCAGGAGAACCGAGTTACTAGTGATGCAGGCATTTCACATGATGTTTACACATAGTTTTCAATCTAACTAGGTGTAGCTATGCACATTCTTTGGGTTTTGGGAGGTGTTTGTTAATCCTGAAACACTAATTGAGAGATTTACACTGGAAGTGGGATGGGCTAGCAAATAAAGTACCTTCTGTCCCTCTCATTCTTGAACAGGTTACAAAATATACACACAGGCAAGTGATGTTCAAATGGGGGAAGAATGGTACAGGCTTAGGGGCAGAGATCTGATTAATTCCATTTTCCTTCCCATACTTCCTGTGGTCTGGAGTAATTGTTCAGGGCAGGAGAGAATTCAGTGCCTACATACTTTTGAGGATATGCATCTTACTACCTTCCTCATCTCGACAATAACAGTTGTTATACTACAGTTTTACTACCCTGAAAGTACATTGCAAGCATATATTTGCATTCAAAGATGTGAGACTTCTGTATCCTGTGATAATGAATCCAAAAGCAATACTGTAGATAGAGGTGGGAATCAGATCACTGGTCCATCTGATCAGGCCTCCGTCCTGTTAAATGTCTTCTACTGCAGCAGTGGGAGGCACAAGAAATCCTAAGTTGTAATAGTGGAACAAATAATTTTTTCACTATTGATCTTGATAGTACATTAGAATTTGTATTTCTCAGGAGCTTGTGCATCTTTAAAGAAATAGTTTTAAGAAATAAAATATGCCACACTAAACTAATCCTAAAGCTAACGAACAGGCACTGGGACTAGGAGTAGGAGCTTTTGCTATTACCTACTGCTTATTATTGTTATTATTATTATTTCTTTTTAATTATGCAAAGTGCTAATCAGTTTGATTATGCACAGTGCTAATCAGGTTAATTATGCAAAGTGCTAATCAGTTATTCTCTAAGCACACGAGGAGAGCAGAGGTGCTGGCAGTGAATGGTGGTTCTAGATGGGGGTAGTCACGGCAGTCATTCCTTATTAAAAGAGGAGTAGGTGAGATGATAGGGGTTTTTGCTTCCATTAAAAAGTAAATAATAAAAAAAAAACAAGAAAGCTGTGAGGGGGGATAGCTCTGGTGGGGTAATTCTTCTTTCACAGCAAGGCAGACTTTTTTTCCAAGTCAGCTCATGCTGTTGGATAATTTCTGTAGGAGTTTGAGTACACTGATTTGGGAAAATGTATTGCAGAGTAGTCTTTTAATGGGTAGGGTACAAGGTGCAACCACTTAATAGGTTGAGGTGCATAGCTAGAAAAATCACAAATTAAGGGAGTTTGGTCAATGTAGCAGTCACCTTTTAAGCACTGGTAAGTAGGATACTGATAATGTAACCTGGATGATGGTTGTTCATGTGTTTTTATGGTTGAGGATACTGGATGAGCATACAAAATATATTTCTTTCAGTGTAATGCCTTTAAAAGCTGTAGGAATTTAGGGTGCCTTATCAGTGGAACATATGTTAGGCTGTATTTCTTCTTCCTCTTTAGCACTAAATTAGAAATGAGAATTTTGTCTTCCTGTGAAACAAGATCTGTTTTCAGTAAGCTATGTTCTCCTGACAATTACTGAAGATTCACTCTGTCTCTCTTACTATGCTCTGTGTCTAATATCTAACCAGTATTCCTTATTTGATTATGTTTCAGTATTGGTGTGGGATACATAAGCCTCGCTTTTTTCAGTTAGTAATGGAGATGACATTCCCAGAGCAGAAAGCTACTTGCTCATAAAAGTGTTGGGTAAAGCATCTTAAGAGATTTTTAAAGTCATTAAAACAGAAGACTACTTCTGTATAAGGCCATCAGTACTAGAAGGTTACTGCACCAACGTTGCCAGAGAAATTTTCTTTGAAAAATTAATCATTGAGGGTACTTACTTATGGGGATTCCTGACAAATTTTCAAGTATATTTAAGGTAGAGAGTAAAGCAAAGCATCAGTAATATATGGCTTAAACCAGAGCCTGAAAATGAATAGTATCGTCTTCTTGGCTTTGTGACTACTCCACAAGACACTGATCCTTGAACAGATATGTGGTTGTAAATACTCATCTACTCTTATAAATTCATTGTGGTGTTAGAAATCTAGACAAACCAATGGTCTGGTGTCAAGTCTAGAGCCTTAGATGTGGAGGAGGGGAGTATGTGATGCAAGTAACCTTAAGTGAGAGGGGGAAACACCAGACATCAGGGTCCTGAGATCTGAATGCTTTCCTGTCTGACAGGAATCCTCTGAAGCTGATGTGCAGCTTCTAATAAACTGATGATGGATTGGCTCCTGGCTGTTTTCAAGTGCTACTCCTGAAGAACTTGGTCTGTTTGCCTCAGACCTGATTTTGACTTGAAGTATTCCATTCCAGAGCCGGACTATTTACATAGGTTTACTATTTTTTTTTTGTTTGTTTTTGTTTGGGTTTTTTTTTCATTTATTGTCAGTGATTCCAGTGCCTGTTTGTTCTTTCAGTGCACTCCACTCCTCCCTCATCACCATTTTGATGAGGCACAATAGGAGAGTGTGTGTGATCTA